TTATCCCTGGGATCACCCATGTCTTCTTCAGTATTGCTCTGGATTCAGTTTGATGCTGATGGCTTGTCTGCCCAGCCCAGGACTGGCCAGTCTGGCATAGTGGAAGAGTGGCTATCTTTATTCTGTCCCAAGGCAGTGAGGCGCCTGGGAATCACCATTTCCTTCCATACAGAGATGGCAGGAGAAGTACCTGGCTGTTTCTCCCTGGTCCTCACTCCAGCCTTGCTAGACTGACACCTCTGTGCGCACTACAGGAGTTCACACCAGAGCTGAGGAAATGTGCCTCCCGGTGAGAACACCCAGCGGGGGGTTGGGGCGGCAATGGAGAACAGGGGAGAGACAATGAATAAACATGATTGGTTGGAGCGAGAATTCGCTTCTTTTACTTGGATGCAGAAATTTGTTCTAAGCATCACCTTGGCTCTTGGCTCTTCCAGTGAATTTCCCTCCTCCATCTGTCATGCTATTGTAGAAGCGACCATTTTCCCCGGTGGTCTGTTTTCCCTTGGTTCTGAGCATCCCTTGTGAGTCCTGTTTCCCTAACCCAAATCTTTTAAAGTAAAGACTGAACTCTTTTCACCACACCCCACACCTCGTCAAAGGATACGCTGGGATTCGCACAGCGATCTGTGCCTCCTGAAGCCTCTAAGGGCCCTGCATGTTGAGAGAATCTGGTTGGGTGTGTGGCCAAGGTAAAGTGAGGTGGCCTCAGGGGCTCAGGTGACGTGTGTCCTCAGACCGTCTACTGTAGCAGCCACGTCACTCCAATGGAACCTTCCCAATGTGCCCACACTCAGGAATCTGCTCAGTGAGGTGAGGTTGTGGCAAATGCTTCCTACTCCATTGGGGTTTTGTGGGCTTAGCTTTCAGAGGGCAGCCGGGGCCAGTCCTCTTCATTCTAGTCTGGGTCAATGGGCCCCTTTGACTACCCTACTGGGAGAGGTGCGAGCTTAGTTTAGGATGCCCGCCACGGAAGGATTTCCCTCAGGGAAGGTGAGCTGGTGTTCAGTTTGAGTCTGGATTGAAGACAGCAGGACCAGGCACAGTGTCTCACAGGTTGGGACAATCAAAACCACAGGAGGGACTTTTAGGAGCCATTTGAAAAATATGTACAGTCATATTTGAACACACCGGGCTATAATAGGAAGTACAACGGCAATATTGCATGAATTATTAAAAGCCAACATGAAACTGTAACTGTAAGCTCACCATTGCCTTCTTAGAGTTTTACACAGAGCTGCTGGATTAACTGGTTTCCCCTGGTCTCTGTTGCTATGGGTGACCCTGCCCTCTCCCCTCCCCCGTGGGAAAAGTGTAGACACACAGTGGAAAAAGGCAGTCTTTTAAGTCAGACAACAGACAGTTTAAATGCTGTGTCACTCCTTCCTAACTTCCCGATCAGCACAAGTCCCAGGACTTAGGTTAAAGTGCCCTCCCCCCATCATATCTCGAGGCGTAACCTCAGCAGCTGAGTCGCCCCGACACAGGCTCCTTGGAGGTGAGGGAGCTGGCCTTGGGACTGAGGGGGAATCTAGCGGGGTCGGTGGTGACGAGGTCCTGGGGACCCACTCCAAGACACATGGGAAGAGGGCTCCTCGAAAGGAGTGAAGAAAACGAATCGTGGGATTTCTGGGCCTCCCTTCTCTTTGAGACGCTTCCTTTAAACCTCCAGAGTGAGGGCTGGTCCTTGATCGAGTCTGCTGCCCACAGCCTTCCAGACACGGCTCCTTTCATGTTCCATCCCAAGTGGGCCCAGCAGCCTGGGTTCGACAACCTCGAGTCACAGTAGCGCAGAGAGCATGGGTTGCTCACAGACGCCGAGCCTCACACGCCACGCTACATACGGCAACCAATAACAACAGCCTGAGCAGACGGGTGATCTTCCAAAACCCACGCTGAAGGGCAGGTTTGCACAGTGTCTGATGCAAGGAAAAGTGGCCACCCCATGGGCCCCAACAGGAGTCTTCTCCAACACTCAGCTGCGCACCTCCCTCCAAAGCTCCCCTGGCTTCATGTTGCCTACAGGGCAAAGCCTACACTGCTCAGCTGGGTACTGAGCCCCTGACCCCAGCACATGTCCTGCCTCTGCCCCTGCCGCACCATCCTGAGGGGGGAGAGGGGGGTTGACCTCCCACCATCCTCCCCTCCCCACGGTTTTCCATACCACAGGGCTGCTGTGCCTGCTGACAGCTTGGCCTGCCTCTCCTCTCCTGCCTTCTCCTCCTTGTCAAGACCCAGCTGGAATAGCCATCCCCTCCTAGTTGGAGCACCTGGCAGAGGAAGTTTCTTGTTCCCCTCGGCTCATAGAACACACCTCTGGCCATCAGCGCAAGGCTGCCCTTCAATTTGTTGGCCTCCGGTAGTAGCCTCAGAGGGCAAAGAGGGTGTCTTACTGAATTCTGTGCTCCCATGCCTGGTCTGGGGCTAGACAAAACTCCAAGATGGAGCTCTCTAGATCCCAGGCCACCCTGAGTCTGACAGAGACCAAGGTAGAGAGAGCGTCCCTGGCTGGCAGGCGTCATGGCCTGAGGGAACACGGGATTGTTTTCCCGGGGTTGAGAAATCAGATGAGACTAGATTTCCTGGAGAGTGGGAAATGAGTTACTAAAATATGTCTGAGATGCTGGGTGTCCCAGAAGAACTGGCATCCGAAAGAAAGAAGTAAATTGCCTTCCGTGGAGCTCTTGGCTCCGGTCTCTGTCTTACTGTCCCTCTGCAGAACAGTGGTGCGGCTGACAAAGATGGAGGGCAACCGAGCACAGGAGTCTGGGTCGCGCCAGCTGCCTGCTGCCCCCGAGCATCTCGGTGTGGTGCATGTTAGCATGGGTTGCCTCGCTTCGTACAATGAGGATGACAGTGGCTGGTGGCTCTCCCAGAAAAGTTCCTAATGATCATGTAGGAGAGCACATAGGAAGTGCCAAGGTTGATACCTGGCACCCGGTAGGTGCTTCCTGATGTTGGTTCCCTCTCATCTGTCGGGCAAGACCCACATCCTCCAGCCTCATCCCCTCCGACCATCATGGTCTTCCTTAAGGTGGCGGGGTTATTATTTTTTTTTCATGGGGGGAGTTTAAATTTGGAGTTCCAAAATGATACCCAGAGCTGGCGATCCATCTGCCCCAGGAGCCAAAGGAGCATCTCAGACTCGCCTGCTTCTGCTTGGCTCAGAGGCGGAGCTGCCACAGGGTGGGGCCTCTGGAGGAGATTGCCAGCATAGACAACAGGCTCAAGGTTTGGCATCTGGCTACGTATTTAAGCCCGCCTCCCCTTCCTTCTTCCTCTTTTCCTTCCTTCTGTTCTTTTTTGAAGAGAAGAGATTGTGCTATCTCATCCCCCCAAAGAATGTTTCTTCTCACACATACTTTAGAAAAATAATCAGATCTTATGTTGTTCATCCTTCTCAAAGGGAGTTGCCACC